CTTCGATGCTGTTGGGGACATCGTGATAGGCACCCCGATTTCAGTGTGCTCGTGGTTGTTGTCTGGGTGACAATATCAGAGTAGATTATTGACTCCTCTCCAGTTAAGAGTTTGGAGAGCCCACTCCCATTCCATCTGCTTTAGCAAATTCCTAACACTTCAATGGGATACCTCATCTCGTTTGCAATCTGGGCAGCCTTGTTAGGTTCATACATGGTGCGGACATTCCATGTCGCCATGTTTACTTTCACTTTCATCGAGGGAGAGAAGACACATCTGCCAATTGGCTTCCTGAAGGCTTTCATCAGTTGGCTTCATTTTGCCTCTCTGATTCCAGCGAGGAATAATATTGTTTTTATTTTTGATATTTTGTTTGTGCTTTGAAGTTTCTTTAGCCATTCAATTGGTTTTCTGGGGTAGGGTTGCTAGCCCTACGCCCAAGCTTCCCTCTTTACCCAGGCTTATGACTGGCTAGTAACTAGTGAACTAGTTAACCAGGTGAGGTTATCAGATAGAATAGTTACGTATAAATAAATCCCTTTGAGGGAATTACTACCCTTATGTCAACTCGAAGACATGAGATAATTCAACGAAGGGGATTTTCTTTTGCACAAATCATTCTCAGCAGCTGTACAATCAAACGTATTTACAGTAACAACAAACAAAGTATTCTGTTTCTGAGATGAATGGGGATTTTAATTTCAAAGTAGTATTCATCGTGACTTGACATCAGTTGAAAACCCGGGAGCATTGGATGGCTATTTCGTAGCGGTATGGGACTCTTCAGCAGTACACACCCACGACCCCACCCACTGCGTATTGAACTCAGGACCTTCAGGCTTTGTGGTGAACGTGTTAGCCATTCAACCACTGGGCTAGAGTCTAGTGATTTTACAGTTTCTGTCAATTCACGATATAACGCAATCATCACCGAAGGCCTTCAGATGGCATCCATTTCCCTTCCAACTGGTTGACCCCTCGTGTCACAGCTTCTCAAAATAAACTACTGTATAGTCCTGATTAGTGACGTGCTTCTAGACAGATATTACGAAGTTCTAATGAAAATCTGTAACATGTGGGGTCAACCACTCGGAAGGAAAGCGGATGCTAACTGAAGACCTTGGATGATAATCACGCTATATCGTTAGTTGACAGGAGTTAGAAACCGTGAACCACTAGACTCAAACCCAGTGGCTGGTTGGTAAACACGTTCACCATGAAACCTGAATGTCCTGAGTTCGATCCGTGGTGGACAAAGTCGTGGGTGCGTACTGCTTAGGAGTCCCATACTAGGATGAAACAGTCATCCAATGCTTCTAGGTTTTCAATGGTCCCCCAAATGACGTCAGTCTGTGATGAATACTACCTCAAGGTTAGTCTGTTATCGACTAATAGGCTAACATTACGTCATAAACCAAAACGGAATGTTCTAGGAGGAAATAGTGCTTCGATTGTAAGGAGAATATACAGTAGATTAACATGATGGCCAATAGTTTGACAAGGATAAGCAGGTGAATAATAATAATAATAATAATAATAATAATAATAACTAGTTATAATCAGTCATTCAAGTAAAGAGAATTTTAATGGGGGACTGGAACTAACATGTTAGGATGTGGGAAAGTAAACAGCAATGTAAAAATAAAAAGTAATGATGATCAGTCAGTTGGAATAAGATGAATACTGAAGTAGCAGTAAAAAAAACTCAAGAAAGGATTATAATCAAAGCTTAAATGTTTGATTGCCAACGCCTCTGCTATATATAACCGACAAGTCTGTACTCTTTTCAAGCTGTTTGCTTAGAAGTTGCATAGGATAGTGAAGCAACACTACCCGAAGTGACCAAATGGTCAATGATGAAACTTTTGCTTGACTTTAGTTCTCCATTGAACATCCACCCAGAATAGTGCTCTGCACTTTGTATTTAGTGTGAAGGAGAAACTGGCGATTCAAGAGTATCTATCAGTTTACCTGCTTTTGTGGACCTGGTTATGTAGGGAGCACAAACTGAAGTCTTTACAAATGTATCTTGAAGCACTAACTTGCGTGGATGTTTAGAGAAGAAGGTAAGTCAAGCAACAGTTCCATCATGAATCATTTGGTCATCTCTGGTTATATCGCTTCCCTACAGTCTTCTTTCAAAATCCTATGCAACCGTAATGTAAACGGTTCGAAAGGAGTACGGATTCATTACTTATGTATGTATAGCAAAGGCGTTGGTAATCCAACAATTACAGCTTGCACTCTGTGTATAGAAGAAAGACATCTATTCTCTTATTTCACCTTAGTCATAATGCTTCCCTGAGTTTTTTTATTCCTTCAATATTCATCTTTAACTAGTTGATCATCATTTCTTTTCACTTTTTCTCTATGATTTACTTTCCCACATCTTGACGAAGGGTTATTCTCCATTATTTGATAAGTGGATGCATACCACACATAACTATAAGATTAAAATTTTTTTGAGGGGGTTTTGTGGAGATTTGAAATATTTCAAGTTGTTATTCATCGAAGACTGACATCAGTTGGAGGAACAAAGGAAACCTGGGAGCACTGGACAGCTGTTTCGTCCTTTGTTCCTCCAATTAATGTCAATCTTCGATGAATATCAACTTGAAATATTTCCAAATCTTCACAACTCCCTCAAAAATTTAACTGAACTGATGCTCATTGGTGACTAGTTTCGAGAAGTATTCCCGAAGTTCCAATGACAAGTCGTGACCGGTGGAGTCAAAGCCTGATGGCCATGAGGACAGATACTCAACGATGACATTGGGTGGCGGTTCGCGCTATATCGTGAGCTAAGAGAAGTTGGAAATATGGAGGACTGGCTTCTGACCCAGTGGCTCTATGGTAACGCGCTGGCCGCGGGACCTGAAGGTCGCGGGTTCGATCCCTGGTGGGGCGGGGTCGTGGGTGTGCACTGCTGAGGAGTCCCATACTAGGATGAAACAGGTGTCCAGTGCTCCCAGGTTTCCTTTGTTCCTCCAACTGATGTCAGTCTACGATGAATAACAACTTGAAATATAAGATAAAAGTTAATGGATACTGATTACCGTATTGTTTATCAACCAAACTGTACATTAGGTTTTGTGTGAACGACTGACAGTAACACACAGGAAGTAACTCTTCACTGGGTTCATTAAAGAGATAAGAATTACCATCATATTACTGAAAACACGTTTAGCTGGACAGAAAGCAGAAGATGAAGTATCATCAATTTCTCGTAATAAATATTATGCAAGACAGAACACTTGTATACAAAGTGAGACTGACTAACAAAATCAACTTGGAACCTCACATAGAAGTTCACTGGTTCAACTTGTCAAATGAGAGAATCCATCTGCGCCATTATGACTGATCAATTAGCCATGTAATCAAGAGTTTTCACATATTGATTCCTATGATCTCGGGTACCCTAGATAGCCAGTCTACACCTCCACAAACGGTTAAGACCAACAGTTGGGGATTTCATGTACTGGTACCGAATCTAAGTCTGGAAATTCTCGATCTTCTTCTAACAGTATCCAACCTCTCCTAGCATTATAAGTCAAGGTAGGCGGTGATTCAGTACGCCCGAGATATATCTAACGCATCTCAGTCTATTAAGGTTCACAACCTCATCAACTGAGTTGCGTTCCTTGCCTAGTAAATTTCACCTGACCTACACACTGCTACATGATGATCCCACCATAAGTACGAAAAGCTTTAGAGATATCCAACCTCTTCACATCTACCTCCGACAGTTATATCTCCTAACCGCATAAACTAACACAGAGAACTGCAGTGTATTATACTAGTTCTCTGAAAGGTAGTCAGATATCTCACCGGTGCCAGGGTTAATGCAACTTGACAAACACTAAATGAATTTTTTGTATCCCAGCTGACCTCTGACCACCGACCAATCTGTTCAGGCTGATACAAATCCCTCAAGTAGGTGAAGTGGTCTACACATTCCACTACTTCATTTCCTATCCTTTAACTGGAATTAGCTGCACACCAATTCTACAGCATCATCTTTGATTTCATAGGTTCAAACACGCCTACCAACTGAAGCATATTTACATTTCCAATTAAGGTGTTCAGAATACCCCAGCAATTCGCCAGCGTCTTCGCTGAACATGCACAAAGAGTATTATAACTGGAATTTATTTCGTATACAACTAAGTTGAGGAATTTTCTATGTCCTATTAATATACTATTTTATATTTCAAGTTGTTATTCATCGTAGACTGACATCAGTTGGAGGAACAAAGGAAACCTGGGACCACTGGACACCCCTTTCGTCCTAGTATGGGACTCCCCAGCAGTGGGCACCCACGACCCCACCGGCGAGGCTCGAACCCGTGACCTTCAGGTTCCGCGGCCAGCGCGTTACCATAGAGCCACTGGGTCAGAAGCCAGTCCTCCATATTTCCAACTTCTCTTAGCTCACGATATATAGCGCAACTGCCACCCAATGTCGTCGCTGAGTATCTGTCCTCATGGCCATCAGGCTTTGACTCCACCGGTCACGACTTGTCATTGAACTTCGGGAATACTTCTCGAAACTAGTCACCAATGAGCATCAGTTTAATTAAATTTTGAGGGAGTTGTGGAGATTTGGGATTATTTCAAGTTGTTATTCATCGTAGACTGACATCAGTTGGAGAAGTCAAAGCCTGATGGCCATGAGGACAGATACTCAGCGATGACATTGGGTGGCAGTTGCGCTATATATCGTGAGCTAACAGAAGTTGGAAATATGGAGCATTGGATTCTGACCCAGTGGCTCTATGGTAACGCGCTGGCCGCGGAACCTGAAGGTTGTGGGTTCGATCCCTGCTGGTGGGTGCGCACTGCTGAGGAGTCCCATACTAGGACGAAACAGCTGTCCAGTGCTTCCAGGTTTCCTTTGTTCCTCCAACTGATGTCAGTCTACGATGAATAACAACTTGAAATAATTCCAAATCTCCACAACTCCCTCAAAATTTATTTTATATTTCATAAATACATCTTAGATTTAAATGAATGTCATATAAATCTGGATATATGTTCAAAGAATTCAATTTGTCTCAATTTACCTGGTTCATATGCTTGTGTTTGTCAAGATGGCTTTGAACGAATTACTTCATACCGAATGAACAGTTTGAGTACACTAAATTTTGAAGATGCTACTGGTTTATTGTGTGAAAGTAAGTTAACATTTTGTCAAACATCATTATACATACCGTTTTCCTATTGGTAGACGCAAGAATAGATAGATAGACAGACAGACAGATAACTAGATAGACAGACATAAGAAGACATAAAACCCCTTCAAAGTATTATTATACTGAGTGATGATTAAAGGTGAAATGAAAATTTGGACCGCGTCCGGATTCGAACCAGCAACCACCAGAGTTCCAACTCGATGCCCTACCAGCATGGGCCAGAAACCCCGGTGGTTGTCGGTTGGGACCCGGCCGTGGTACAAATTCTCACTTCATCTTCAATCATACCTCAGTATAAATGCTAATCTACCAAACTACGACTATCTCAGATAGTCAAAATGAAAAGTATTACTGGACAATAATTATCCCTTGATTTATATGAAGTATGATCAAAATTTAACCGAATAATATAAAAAATATTGGGCTCTGAGAAAAAGGTTAGTATTGGATATTCTTTGTATCTGTGTAAGTCATAGCGTGTTTGAAAAATTCCCCTAAAAGCGATTAATTTGAATGAAATGTTGCGTAACAAAAAATGAAGGTTCAATCAGTTCAACAGAAAGATGTATGGATCATGCTTCCGAAGATAGGTGACTCATACAGTCCATCTTCTAAACAAGGACTTAAGGCAACCATGTAAACAATGCACTATACAGCAAAGATAAACATTATAAAGAGAAATCAAGGTTTGTACTCTTGTGAACGTCCGCAGAATTTGAACGATTACCTCACATCCTAGCATGTTTATCAGTCTACATGTATGTGTGCTCACACACACACTCACACACACACACATGCACACAGAAGGAGGATCAATCAATTTATACAAGTAGAGGCCTCAGAACACATTCCAAAATTATTTCCACTACAAACTAAGTTGAATGATCCTATTGACCCATACAATGAACGCCCAGTTTGGTCGACAGTTATACATATCAATGAAATAGGTCACAAGTTTGATTTGGATACATCTTTGAAACATGTGTTTACACAAGACGTCAAAGGTTTGTATTTAGGTCTGTTGAAGCTCTGGCTATCATAAAGTTTATATCTCTTTCATGTATTCAGTAACTTAGCTTTAATATCGAGGGTGATTTGTACATTACCTTTCTCATTCCATCTATCATTTGATGACTTGGGAAACAAGTTGACCCTTTATCCTTTTAACATTAAAGAAAAAAGCCGTTTATCTAGTTATATTTTGCATAAATATACACGAGAGGTGAGTGTTTGACCAGACTGTCTGAAATGCCTTGGAGTAACCAACTACACGTTTCACATGAACTAAATTCACGTATTGTTTTGTGGGAAATTTTTAATAGCTACTAAATGTTTCATTGCTCAACTGTTTTATATTTTTAAAGTAGATCAAAAGACGATTGCACATCTTTAGAAAATGGGGTCAATAGAGATGGAAAATGTTTTTATCTAACACTTGGGTCATACTTGTAGAAAATAGCCTGATATGAATGATCATAGAGTTAGTAGCTAAATTTCAGTTTACTTATGAGCTGGGAATCTCGGTAGCTTAGTGCAGCAATGTTCATCATTTCGAAGAATGAAATTAGATGAAATCTCAACAAAGCTGTGTACCAGTTGGAGACATTAGCTGTCTACACCAACAGCAACTTTCTTGGACGCATGCTAAGAAATTTCGAGTTGAACAATCGAATGACCAAGTATGATACAATCACAACTTACAATGCCTGATTAGCGTAAAACGCTTTTATCCAGTTTTCGTTGAAAGTAGCTGATAAATTTAGAGCTAGAAAAAGTTATGAGCAAAGCAATAGCGATGAGATCGAATAAGAGGTGCACGTACATATGAAGTGAAATCAATAAGAAAATCAAACTATGACTAAACTAAATGGAAATATAATTGGCTGAATTGTTTATTTACCCTAAAGGCACAAGGTCAAGCTGTCACAGCTAACCAATAGAAATAAAAACTTAAATGAAATTAATGTAGGTTGTTTAACACAAAACAACCAATCAAATTTCGAACAAATGACCAATCATAGAGAAGCAGACAGCTTCGTCTAATTACTATGAAAGAAACAAACAAACTTATTCGGCCAATAGAAAACAGCTATTCAAAATTACACCACTCATCTGAATCAATTTGAAACTGGACAAAACTGTACCCGAAAACTAATATATCAAGGATTCATGTAGCACCCGTGCAAAATTGCTCAGAGATCACCGGACAGTTTATTATTTGATTTGATTGAGAAAGTCATAAAAATTATAGACATTCCTTTCTGCTAAAAATCATCTTTTCAGCTAAAAGTTAAATGTTACCATTTTCAAGGTTACTTCACTTCCTTTGAAGATACAGATTAGAAAAAACTTATTTTTAAAATAAACCCATAGATCTTGCAAAACTTTGTAGTCTGATAGATTACGGAGGAAAGCAACTTATTCAATCTATGGGCAAATTTGGCATAAGCATCCACATAATTCTGTGGGAAAACCAAAGATTTTATTCGAATACACCGCATTTTTTTCATTGTTTGATGTGAAAGACATTAATAATGATTTTTGAGCGAATTGATTCGCACCTACTCTAAGGTTATTGATGAAGAATCCTGTGATTAGTTCACTCATTTTAGGCATCTCAACAACCTGAGTGCGATAAGTTGATTGAATCACAAATTACGGCAACACACACACACACACACACAAAAGTCGCTTACCATCATGATCCAGGTGTAAATTTACGGAAGAAGATTTTTTTTTAGTCAGTTGACTATCACTTTATAAAAACAACATTAATCAATCAAAGTTTTATACTAATAAAAGATAATTGCCAATTTAACACTTTCTAGACGTTTCCCTGTGTCATGATTACGACGGAATGTTTCTCAGTTGTCCAGACAACAAAGTATGTGAAGAGAACAATGGAAAATATGTCTGTAAACAGCTAAGTTTGAATAATGACCCAAGTGAAACAATAATCCAGCATAAAACAGACACCAATTCATGTGAGTATTTTTTTGATATATAATGTAAAGAAGTAGACAAGAATGGTAGAATTTTTTGTGGAATAAAAATCGCCAGTTCGACACTGTTTCACATAACAGATTCCACCATCGTGGACTGTATTTATCAGGTGGATAAATCGCTTTCCTGCAGAAACGGTAGTAATGTTGACTGGTACTACTATTACTATTACGACTGCTTGAAGATTTTGCTGATCAGCGTTTTTCCCATTGCATCTGGGTTAATGGAGCTAAGACAACTAACAGGTTCATGTTTGTTTTCAGAGTGACAGACAGACAAACATAGAAATCCAAAATCAGATACTGGACTGAGATGAAAAGACCGAAATCGAAAATACAGCGCTCAAATGCTATGACATATGACCTTGATAAAGAATATCAACAGTACGCCCCCTTACTCTTAAGGTTTCTGAGTGTTGTAAACATCTCAGATTTTTTAAATAAAGTGGGTCAAAAAGGAATAAAACAGAGTTAACCTGAGTCTAACACTTCCCCCATAATTAACGGCTGGAATCGCACCAAGCCATATGAAAATGCAAAGGTGCGAGATTAAACCAACAGTGGAAAGTGAGTCTATACATTTACAGACAATGAATAGAAACTGAAAGCTACCTTTCGGACAAAGAAATAAGGCGAAAAAATGACACTACTTAATAACAGTAAGTAGTATGAAACTAAAAGTAAAATAAAATAGCAAGGCAGAAGTGTGGAGAAAATGGGCTGCAAGTACGTCGAGGCATAAAAGATGAGTCATAGATTCGTTCGAACATAGTCTAAAGGTGATTCGAATGAGAATCGGCATATGAATACTTCGTCGTGAGTTGAAAAGCTAGTTATAACAATAATAGACTACTTAAGAACATGAAAATATATTGATTTCAGTTTGGACTAACATCATTTTACGAAACATTGGAAACTTGAACAGCTGTTCCTTTCCATTATGAGGATTTTAAGCAGTGCGTACCAATGACCTCACCAGGAATCAAACTCAGGGCCTTCACGACCCACCATCATTACACCATCATTGAGCTGCCGAGCTGGGACCCAATGATCCATACTTCCTACTTCTGTCAGTTCACGATATAGCGCGACCTCCATCCAATGCCATCGTATCCAGAGCTTCCAGATTTTCAATGGGACTTCAACTGATGTAAATCCATGAATATATCAAGAGGAATCATTTTTCATCAATAAGTGGTCAGTGGGAAGTAGCCTTGAGAAATTAGTCCCAAGGAACTATCTACAAATGGGTCGGTTAGTTAATTTGCATTTCAGGTGATTTAGGTATTCAATGTCGACAGTTTCTTCAGCCACCTAAATTCATAACAGCCATCTCCTTTTCTTGCTAATAAAATGAGTAGAGTTGGTTCGGTTTGCCTTCATAGATGAGAAGACTATGAAAGGAAATATATTGAAGTGATTCAAAACTGACCTATATCAAAAAGACCTTCATTTGGAACCAACTTTTATGTTACTTTCAAAGATAATCTTCTTTTAAATAAACGGTATAGTCTTTGCTTAGTGACTACCGTTTAGTTTTATTTGGGGCTCGTCAGCTGGATGTACCTGCACCCTAGTCAGCGATGTTATCCCTACTGAGACTGGAACCTATTACACGACGGTTCAAACGGCAAAGCATTATCTACTGGGCTACTGGGGTATGATAGCCATCATTTGTTACGGTTTATTGACACCATCGCGTTTGAAGCTATATGTATGTCGTATGAGGAGGCCTCGATACCGCTCCATTACTCATTATGTTGTGATCTGCCTGGTGGCTCACACAGGAATCCAGTACTCGCGCTTCTACTAGGAGCAACATCACTCAACGGGGTACAGGTACATCCAGCTGACGAGTCCCAGAAAAGACGACATATGCGTCATGAATTCCACTGCTAGTCATTAAATAGGCCACAACATAATGAATATCCAGGCAGTATCAAGGAGTCCGGATTAGAACCTATCTACCAATAGAGGTCAAAAATTCAACCCAGATACAGCAAGAGAAAATTACAAGTACCAATTGATAGTTTTCAATGTGATTGAATATTTCACCTTTTGCATTCATTTCCACTGCCTAATAGTTGAATAATTTTTCAAGATTTCTTCTTCTTCCTTTTACACTAGTTTTAAACTGTACAATCAGATTTCGTCAGCTGCACGAAAAATTAATGGATAAAGTTGAAGAATTTGCCAGTGGGGATATTAAAGAACTGATTTACTCTGTAGGTGATCATGAGACTAGAAAACTGTGTTACTGTGAAGTAAGTGAATTTTAATCATCTAACCTGCATGGAAATCCCTTTCGTGACGCGCCAAGTCTCTGAACCATACAGGAGCACTGACTTGACATTGGTGTTGAAAATCCGTATCTTGTTCCGCATGCTGAGTGAGGTACGGATTTTCAACACCAACGTCAAGTCAGTGCTCCCGTATGGTTCAGAGACTTGGCGCGTCACGAAAGGGATTTCCAATAAACTACAGACATTCATCAATAACTGCTTACGCTGCCTCGTTACTGAAGATCAGATGGCCAGAAAGAATAAGCAACAAGGAACTCTGGGAACGAACCAACCAAGAACCTATCACCCAACAAATATGCAGGAGGAAGTGAAGATGGATTGGCCATGCACTGAGAAGGCCGACTGGGGACATCACGCGTCAGGCCGTCGAGTGGAATCCCCATGGGAAGCGACGAGTTGGACGTCCAAGGGTGACATGGAGGAGGTCGTGCGAGGAGGAAATGAAAGCTTCTGGGCTGTCTTGGGACCAGGTTCAAAAGATCTCAGAGAACAGAGTTCACTGGAGACGTGCTACTGAAGCCCTATGTTCCACTAGGAACCCAAGGGACTAATAATAATAATAATAAACCTGCATAGATCATGAATACTTCTAACCGTGTTGATGTATTTTCTCGATAACATCTTGGTTGGAAGTAGTGCATAGATCTACTGAGAGTAAAGGAGGATTCGATAAATGTTTCTTTCCAGTGTATACCTTCAGCTTTCTGTAGTATTGAGCTCTAAAGATCATCCCATCTTTCAGTGGAACTATTACCCTTCAACTAGTAACATGGGACAAACTGGATGACATCTTCCAACTCCAATCACTTCATAATCGAGCATGAAAACCATCCATCCACTCTTAAACTCAACCATCTTATTCTATACTACAGTTATAAAAAATTCACTTCCAAAACAATTTTGATTGACTACTGATTAATTGGCAGGCTTTGATTAGATTTTGTTTCTGGCGTAAAACTATATTGAAGTCAGTTAATCAATTAGCCAACCTCGGAAAATTACCTAACTTATACATACATTTTATCATTCCAATGTGCTTCGTTGACCATTTCATGATGAATAAATAAGGAATTGGATAGATTGAAAGGTAACTAGAGAATAACCACTTTCATCTTGTCTGAAGTGAGGTCTTGTACTTTAGTGATCACATTACAAAATGATCAGTGGAATTCAGTCAGCACTTAGGAGGTTAATCACCGTTCTGATAACCTCTTTACCGGCTAGTTCGAGTGCATCAGGGGATATCTATTCCTTTAAAGTTTCTGATACACCTTATTGACAAGTACCATCAGTCTGCATGATACCTATCGGTTGCCTGTAGGCATTATCAAACAATTGTCAATAATAGTGCGTAATGTAAGCAGGGAATGGTTAACATTTTGAAATGCAATAAGTGGTTGAGCTGACTTAAGAGGTACTAATCTGTTTTACACAGTGAAGGGAACAACAATTACTGTTGTTTTATTCTGATACCTGTAATCAGTATATACAGTATACAGTCGTCTCTAGGCAACCGATACTTCATGAGATACTAGTCTACCTTGAAATCACTGACATAGTGTATAAATTGCCTCAAGGTTGAACATACACAAACGTATTGATGAATATCTACAGTTATTTAGTTCAGATAAACACCACTGTCTACCTTGAATCATTGAGTATTGAAAACCCTATGAGGTTTCTTAGTTTACAGTTTGAAGATATTTTTTTTACAAATTCCACGATGCACACTGAAATTTCTCACAGCTGACTGGATTCTTAAATTGCCTACCCGTGATGTCAACAAGATTCCCGTTGGAAACTACTCAGCAGAGATCATACAAGGTTATCTCTGACACAAAAGTGTCATGAACTAGAGAACAATACTATTACTGAACAAAGCAAGCATTAGAAACCTTGGAGCACTAGGCAACTGTTTCGTCCTAGTACGAGATCCCTCAGCAGTGCGCACCCACAATCCATCCATGGCTGGAACCTAGGACCTTCAGTATCAGTAGGAAAGCATTCAGGTTGATCTATAGTATTCTGCCAGCCAGATCACAGTAATGTAAACACCGAACGGCTGTTCCACTTTCTTGAGTTTAAGCTGATCATTGGTATCCATGTAAGTCCATGCAAGGCAGTAAGTTAGATTCATGGAATCTGAATCAATTCGCTCCTGTGAGCTGAATTTGTCTAGGTACACTGCTGATCAGTACAAAACCGATCTAACAAAGCAACCATGCAGTTTTTAGTTCACTGTAATCTGGTTACCTCGCAAAATCTACAGATGAGCTTGAGTAGTTCTCAACTATTCAATCTTCTCTGTAAGAGAAAGGTTAAGAAGAAAGGGTGAACTCAGTAACTGATTATTGACATTCTTTCTAATATTATGACATGTTCAATTGAAGCCCGATTCTTTTTGAATAATTTAGTCTGGTCAACTCGAATGTCTACATCAACCAGACTATTTAGCACTACTGTTGCTCCAGTCAACACTGACAAGTGCTACCACTCAAATCCTACAGTCAAATCATTACCAGTATCAATTATGTAGAATATGCTCAAAATTGTATCAAAGTATTCAGAGGAAAGAATCATCACACTTGTCGAAATGGTACACAGATTATTGTCTTCTATGCAGTCATCTAGAAAATTTGACCGATATAACAAACTTTGTATACTGGTGGACTATGGAAGAAAAGACTTCGATGGTGAATCATTCACGGTGTAAAATGTGTATACAGTTAGTAAGTATTGATTGATTATTACAACTGTTATTACCCCCTCCCACCCCACCCACTTCTGAAACACATACACAATAGTACCGGTCTCACTAACCACACCCGTCCCTGATAGTCTCATCAATGGTCAATATGAGTTGGAACATGACAGTGGCACCAAATCCTCAGTGACTAAAGTGAAGTTAAGCACTTATCGACACTTAAGTCTGGTAAGTCATTGAGTTGCTCACCTGGCTGCAACCCGAGAGATTGAGGATTTGAATTCTAGTGTCCGACGTTTTTTATTTCACCTTCACTGTAGCAATGATGGGTAGTGGCAATAGTAGAATCCAGCTGACGTGCTCTTCGACCTATTCGGGACTCGTCAGCCGGACGTACCTGCCTCCCAGTGTGCTGCTATTCCCACCGGGATTCGAACTTAGGGCCGCTCGCTTCAATCACCAGAACGCCATCCACCATACTGCTGAGCTACGATACTCACTCTTTGTGCGACGGGTATAGTTTTAGTATTCAAGCAATAGTACTAAATTTCACACTGTTAACAACTTAGTATCTGACATGTACGCGACGAATGTGTTCAATAGGTTAGATACTTACAGCCGATTAGTAAGTAACCTTAGGGGAGTCCTAGCTGAGACTCCTTAACAAGGTTTATCTTCATTCATGAGGAAAGTAGTATTTCCTTGGAGATTTTTATCTGTTCCACTCAGTGGTCACATCAAAGATATCAACATTGAGCTGACCTAATTATGACTAATCTTCTGTGACATTGGATTATGTACAGGAATAACCAAATAGACGGTGACTGATGCAGCTACCAAGTTCGAGGTATTTATCGAGGTCCATTTACTGATTTTAAATAGTTTAGCCAGTAAGCATGTAAATTAATGCAATACTGCAGTATACTATGTTCAACTTCTAATGTTCATAGATTCAAGTGTTCTCATGCTGGTCTTCAAGTTCTTATGTCTTATTGTTTGTAGATCCTTGTGGTTATACAAGTAGATGATATTCCTCAGGATATGTTTAGTAACAGCTGACTGAAAAGATTTCTCAGTTCATTTATACAATCATATACCCTTAAATTTTAAACAAACACTTTTAATATCTCAGATAATCAATTCCTAGTAGGGTTGAGGGTGCTCACTACTAGGGATCTTACAACGAAATAAAACAGCTCCCCAGTACTCTCAGGTTTTCAATGGTTCTTTAAATGATATCAGTCTGTGATGAGTACTATTTTGTAATCAGCAGTTATTGATCGAAACTGTCTTAGAAAAGTTAAACAGTGACTCATTAAATCTGGATCACATGTTTATGTATCGACTTTGGAATATGTTTCGAGACCCCGTGTATGTATCACTACACCCACATATAGATTGGTAGATGTAATGCGATGTAACATTATTGTGTACATGCTGTAAGAGTTTGGGACAGTATACAGACTTGATGATAAATCCTTCTAACAGCAGCGTTAAGTCAGTCAGCTTAAGGATTGCGGCATGAAACTCAACGTTCTACGGAAAACTTATCAATACAACATTCTTCTGGATAAAGCAGATTTCGCTGCTCTAGCTACTTTGTACTGACCAATAACTTTTGATAGATAGTTATTTTTCAACAGTGTTTCAGTTAGTCTTCTTGTCTTATCTTCTTATCCGTTGAGCCGTATTGTTTGACAACTTAACTGACACTCACTTGTATGGAATTGAACAAAAACTGTAATAATTCAATGCTCCATTCCTATGGATTTTCTGTGGATAGATCGTTTGACGAACTCGTCCTACCTTGTGACTAATTAGTTTATCCTAGTTTACACATATCAAGGATATGCTGTACTGGGCTGTATTCACTTGGTTTCGACTTTTGAAGTGGACTGACTTGAATTATCATATATATAATTAAGATATCATCGATATACCTTCGATATAGATGGGCTTTCTCATTTGTGTTCCCCTCTAAATTTTTCACTTATGACGTAATTATGCTTGCTGAAAGAGGAGCCAAAGAACTAGTCATTAGGCAAGCTTGCATGTCAGTAATTTCTGCGGACACATAACAACATGCAGAGTGGTTGTTGGGTTTATATATTTTAGACAAACTATAAATATGGTAATTTGGTTGATTGTGGCTAGCAGAAGAATCCAGGATGTACGTTTCATCCTGTTTGGGACTCTTTAGCCGTATGTACCCGCACCCCAATGAGTGATGTTGCTCCCAATGAAACTCGAACCTCGTACTCATCACTTCAAAGTTATGAGAATTGCGATTTGAGTTGATTTGAATGAATCAAATTTTTCTTTGTTAATAATGTTCATGCAAAGCAGTTTCATTAGATTAGCTGTCATTGTTCCATGTAATAGTTTTATGCTTTCTGAAGAGCAATCTCTGGGTAAAGCATTTCAGTCTAACTGAAGGAACTTTATATTTACCTATTAAGTTACGGAACAATTAACTTTCGGGTCATTGAATACTAAGGATGCATCTCTGGACAATGACTCTCCTGAGGATGGCTTAGTAACAATCTACTTGATGTTAGCTTTAATGATGAGGCTCTTATCAGTTTGATCATCTGAGATGGGCGTGCTTTAGTAGACTTATATTGATATCGGGTGATGATTGAAAATGAAGTGAGAATTTTAGGTGTGTTAGGGTAGGGTTGGTAACCTGGAAGTCACTGGTTTGAATCATATTGTGGTTCAAACTTTCACTCTCAGTCATCGCTTAATATATTTGTAGGTTTCTTGACATATGTGAGAGCGTAGTGACTGGTACTGCGTTTCATCCGTCTACTTTCAGTGTTAGTTAAGTAGGTTGAACATACTGCTGAGTAGTCTATTATTAATCAGTAATAAATTATAGTGGAAAGACTATTCTTTGAATATAATCATTCAGATAACATATTAGTTATGCGTTAATTAGAAAATAGACAACAAATACTGTTTCTTGAATCGATTCACAACGTTCTCAACTTCATTCTATGGTATTCACTCTGGATTCATGTTGTCATAACAGGAAGTGTTAACTAATCGATAACTCAAGTGTCATTGGATAACCAGAAAGGGATATTCTCCATCATCTGAATCAATGCTTTTGGGAAATGATACTACTGTAGTGGGCGTTGCTGATAACAACGGGTATAAGTAGTATATATCGAGAGGGTGGCAGGAATCATAGGGAATTACCGGCAATGGGTAAGGTTCCTGCCAACAGCAACGCAGGGGATAGCATAGGCGGGCTTGACTCCCGGTCGAAGAGCCAAAGTTGGAGCGAAAGAAGACAAATCGACGAGAAGGTGCCAATCTCGAGCAGTTGGAATGGTAGTGGTTACATATGATACTCCTTGCACTAACCCAGCCGTTTGCAAATGTCTTCCTTTCTTCTCCGTTCCTGTCTTGATTTGCTCTTGACCGGCTCTTCATACACTCTTATCAGCAGCATCCCCCGTAATACGCCTGTGTTGTCCGCTGCTTTGCTCTTGGCAAAAACCTTACACATTGCCGGTAATTCCCTATGATTCCTGCCACTCTCTCGATATATACTACCTATATCAGTTGTTATCAGCAACACCCACTACACTACTTTATATTCGCTAACAGTTTAACTGGTTAAAGTCAGCTAGTACTGAGATCCGAAGTCAAGCTATATTCTTATTGATACGCATAGAAATCCCCCGATCTGAAAGGCTCAACGGTTATATCTCCGTTACATCAAGGTTTTACAGGCATCCTTTTGATGCCTTCTATCGTTTAAGACATAAAAGTCTAGAAAATGGCCTTGATAGTTGACTTTAAAGGCATAATTCCACTGGAATGGCAGTTGCGAAAATACAAAAATCACTCTGCAGAATCCAGTCGTCATTTGGGCTTATATAATATGGTATTGGTAACCAATTTATAAAACGATTTTGCGTAGTGCACTGTTCAAGATGAGATTTCACACAATTGAATAGTTTTCCAACTGTCCAACAAGGTTTCCCCGTGAGAACTAGGCTTCATAAGGGGGTAATATCTGATACAAAATTGTCATGAACAAGCGATTTGTAGATTTCACTAGCGGTACCATAGTGATCAAAGCACTGAATGACTGATAGACCAGGCCTCAAATGATCGAAATAGTCATCCAGTGTATTTATATATACCAGTGTGAATAGTTTTTAACTTTTATGCACATTGTTCAGTAGTATGTAAGATAATGGCTACATTCTAAGGATCAATCTGGTGATATCATCATCCCTAGTTTGTTTATAGAAAGCTCATCTACCGAAACTATGAGTCTACAAGAATGATTTGTCCCGTCGATAAACTTCATATAGTTATTGACTATTATTTACCTAATTGAATTTTATTCACATAGATAGTATGTTTTTTTGTGTTTTCTTCTTACAGAATAATAAAACACATTGTCAACAATTATTATGTTCCAGTTTTTCATTATACACCTCAATGAAATGGTATCAAATTTGTTGTTCAAATATTCTGTCATCTAGACAATTTCAAATTAGTCAAAGTGAACAATTAACAAATCTTCAAAATCTTGTAAATAAATGTACTAATGAAACTATTGTCTCTTCAATGAAGATATCCACATTTCAGTGTATCGACTGTTCATGTAAGGTAAGTGTTATATACCTGTATAAAATAGCAATTTTTGTAGTACTGGGAATGATTGATAGGAAGATTTGTTTCACTTATGTTTCTGTTCATATTCATTTAAAATGTATTTCAAGTTATTATTCATTTTAGACTGACATCAATTGGAGGAACAAAGGAAACCTGGGAGCACTGAATAGCTGTTTAGTCCTAGTATAGGACTTCTCAGCAGTGCGCACCCACGACCTCACCAGGGATTGAACTTGCAATCCTCAGGTTCCTTGGCCAGCACAATACCATTCAGTCACTGGATCAGAATCCAATGCTTCATATTTCCAACCTCTGTTAGCTCATAATACAGAGCAACCACCACCCAATGTCATTGTTGAGTAACTGTTCTCACGACCATCAGGCTTTGCTACGAAATCTCTACAACTCCCTAAAAATTCAGTTAAAATGAATTTGTTGCAACGTCCATCTGTCTGTCTGTCTGTCTTAAGAGTTTGATATCGACTTACCTTCAACAAGAAATTTATTATTGATCAGTGATCAACTGTAGATTAGTAAAAATTAAACGATCAAATGTTACACCAAAATATTAGTTACCATTATTGATGAGTTTACACAAAAAATAATATTTAGAGATTTCTTATATGTATACTTTAAATAGATCCTGAATTGATTGATGACATTGAAGGTGACAGTATGATGTTCTACGAATCTAATTATTGAAAAGATGATCTTGATAATGGATAGATTTTGACAAAATTTTCATGGAATGGAATTATTTCGCATATGATTATGATCTATTTTAAGAGGTCATTGATATGACTATATTTTCTACAATAAGATAAAATTATGGACAAGATAATCGATTATACCATTGTATTATTGCCAACAGTGAAAAGACAATGAAATCAGTGATTATTTACTGCTATTTATCTAACTTGCTAAGTTTTTTTTTTCTTGTTTGAAATTCACAAGTGTTTGCCTTCTCAAGGTCTTATTCGTAAATCCTTAGAGAGTAGTTCATAGAAATGATTAAGAAACGATAGAGTACAACTTGAAGAATGATTTGCTCTCGTATTATACAGCCCAGGTGGATCAATTTTATTGAATTACACATAGATGAACATCTTGAACTTACATATTTCAAATTTAAGCAGTAAGAAGGAGTCAAAAAGCTAAATAAATTAGTAAACATTATGAAAACTGTATACTTACAGTCAATCCTTTTTATTTTTGTATTGAAAATGAATTAAAAATACCTATTCGCCTAATTGGTGCATTCAAGGTCATGTGGTGATTGCACACGGACAGCACACAAATAATATCCTCTGATTGCTTGATTCAAAATGTACTATGGGTGGTCAGATAGCATTGGTCGACAGGTCAAAGGTTGCTATACACTATATATATATATATATATATATATATATATATATATATATATATATATATATATATACAGTTTTACAAGACTTGTATTCCCTGTCTTCAAAGGGTTCTTTCTTGTGGTGTAAGACAGTGACAGTCAGTTGGTAGAAAACCTTGTTTGACCTAGGTTCCGCGCTTGTCAAAACTCATCACCTACGACTATATGAAACAGTGATGGAAGTGGTGTTACTCACGAACTGGAACGCTTATCCCTTATGCTGAAGTAAGAGTTACTCTTATGACAACTGACGACATTGCATGACTGGATTTTGTCTTTAAATTGGTCATTTCTACAGAAAACTCACAGTGGTTACTTACCTCGTGATATGCCTGATCGATAAACTTTGTTCGAAGACAAATGATGGGTAATGCAGACACTGACCACCCCTCTAACTGACATATTGTAGAATTATTCGGGACGACTTAGTCGTTTGCGAAATATACTACTGGACAATTTAAGTAGTTTGAAATTATTCAGGCTAATCTGTAAACTTTTCTAACCAGCCACATCAGAGTGATCTAAACACCCGATGGCTATTTGACTCCTTTTCAAATTGTCTTGATACTTTACTTGTAACAGAAAGCTTTGAACAGAAAATAAAGGGAGAAATTCAGTGGAATTTAACAGGAGAAACTGCTTCTAAGGAAACTATGTATTGCTTAAAACCGATTTATTACTGAGAAAAAAATGCACGACTTAAATATACACGCTTATAAATTGCTGAACAATCTCACTATGAGATAATTTACAATTTTGTATGATGTAAACAAGTCAAAAGACAAAACAATAAAACTTGTTAAGAAATGAAACTATACTTCAGTTTTCTAAAGTCGACTCAAGCTATAGGTAACATTTGTGAGGCGTTTATTTGGCCTTTATCAATGATTGATATGATCAGTGGTGATATCACTACCTTCATGACACTTAACAGTCTTGATACAGATATCTTCATAATAACAACAAGATTGATTGTTAGGTAGTGAACAATGAATCCCTTTTATCCAACACTTCCTAGACTCGACTACTATTATAGAACGTTTACTCTCATTGCAGTGATTTATTAACTGATCAATTGTATTTCAACAACAAATCATACCATTCATAGTTATATACCATTTCATAGTCCATAAGAATGAGAATAATAAATGTTCTCTATTGGTGAACAGATAACAGACAATCAGAAAATGCCAAAATGTATAAGCGGTAAATATGAATCAAAGTTGATCAAAACTCAAAGTGACTTTAAAAGTCACCCTAGCAACTGATGAAACAGCTAATCACGTTTCTATAATCTATGAAAAACTGTCTTTCAAAACAAAATACCGCAACCTAATTTGTTATTTTAGGATGACCTTTAAAGTCACCCTCAAAACTGGTCATAAAATAGTCAAGTCTGATTGGTTATTTTAGTGATCGCTAGGATGGCCTTTAAACTAGAGTGACTTTAAAAGATACCTTAGCAACTGCCCAGGTTAGCAATTACGCTTCTATATTTTATGAAAAACTGCTTTTTTTATCTGGAATACCAAAATTGGATTGATTATTACAGCAGTTGCCAGGTGAGCCTTTCAAGTCAGTCAAAACTACCATTAAGTATTTAATATGAAAGCATAATACAAACTTGAGAGAGAATGAGAACAAAACGCCAAGGAACCAATCCCGGTGTGTATACTTAACAACTTCACCTAACTAATGCAGCCGAGATAGGAAGATGAGGGTCTTAATGATAGCGCCTAAACCAACTGCAGGTTTCAAGACACACAGGACAACAACAACTGACAGAAGTAAGAAATATTGACCCTCAAATGTCAACCCAGTGGCTAAATGGCAACGTGCTAGCCATGGAACTTAAACGCCATTGGTTTGGTCCCTAGCACCTGGGCCTGGAAACAATCCATTTACTTTGTAAACATCTTTTATAGTATCTAATACTTATAGTAATGATGGATACTGGCTAGCAGTGGAATTGAGGATGCGAATTTCGTCCTATTTGAGACTCGCCAGTTAGATTGCCTGCCTCCCAGTGAGTGATGTTGTTCCCACCTGGGTATGAACTAGGGAGCGATCGCTTCAAACGCCAGAGCGTTATACATTACTATAATTAAAACACAGGTAATATCGAGGCATCCGTACAGCAGCCCATATACCAACAGAGACTGATCAATTCGGTCCAATTAACGACGGTATAATACAACCAATTATACTAAAACTGTACCCGTCGCGCAAGAAAAGTCTATCTTGGCTCGGTGGTGTAGTAGATAACGCTTTGGAGTTTGAAGCGATCGCTTCTGGGTTCGAATCCCGGTGGGAACAGCAACAGTCAGTGGGAGGCAGATATATCCAGCCGATGACTCACAAATAGGATGAAATGCACTGGTAATACCAAGGCATCCGCACAAGAGCCTATATGCCAGTAGAAATCGATCAATTCGGTCCAACCAATGACGGTGTAGTACTAGCAATCATAGTATGTCTAGTAACTAGTTTTATTTTTCTAAAAACAAAAAGCGTTTTTTATTTCTTCACCTACATATCAAATTCCAAAAAATTTATCAATTATTCTCCATATTTTAGAATGATCGCATTTATTGTACATGGAATGGTAATAAAGCATTTCAACAAATTAATCGAACTGTTCAATGTAATCATTCACCATCCACTCTTCAAAATCCGTTATTAATTCCATTGAAATATAATTGGACAATGAGAAATACAGACAAGGATTGATAACAGAAGCTGGTTATCTGTTTATTTGTGTATTTTTCTGTCCATTTCTGCCTTCCTACCTGTCTGTTTGTCTACCTGCTTACGTGTCTGTCTGTCTGCCTATCTATCCGTCTGTCTGTCTGCCTGTCTGCCTGCCTGCCTGCCTGCCTGTCTGTCTGTCTGTCTGTCTGTCTGTCTGTCTGTCTGTCTGTCTGTCTGTCTGTCTGTCTGTCTGTCTGTCTGTCTGTCTGTCTGTCTGTCTGTCTGTCTGTCTGTCTGTCTGTCTGTCTGTCTCTGAGTCTATCTTCATAATGCATAATATTTTATTTTTTGTGAACATGTTTATCTATCAGCACAAAAGATATCACCATAGGGTCTACACTAAATCACCATAATTTTCGTCGTTTCTTCAGAAATTCACTTGGTAATTATTATTTGTCTGTTTTGTGTCTGTACATACATGATTTTGAATAAGAAAATACTCGGTTGTTACAACATTACTACTGGTAAAATCTAGGGGGTCAAGGGTATCTAGATAGAAGAAATGTTAAGGCATCATTTGATGATTGGATGGACTAATATCTTGTCTTATTGTTATTATTATGATTAATATTAATCATTACTATGTTTCTCTTCAGTTCCTAGTGAAACAGGACTTCAGTAACACTTCACCATTTCACTTTCTTCTCTGCAGTATTTTCAACCTCGCTCAACGACTACCCACAAGCTTTCATTTCTTCCTCATATGATCTCCCTCATGTCACCGTCGACTCAGACACCAAACTCGTCGTTTCTCATTCGGGTTTCACCCGACGGCCTGACCTGACACGTGATGTCTTCAATTGGTCTTCCCACTATATGTCTAATCCATTCCATCTCCACATTCTTCTGCATATTTGTTAGGCGATATGTTCTTGATTGACTTGTTCACAGAGTTCCGTGATGCTTATTTGCATTATTCTGTCTGCAGTTTGTTGGAAACGCTTTTCATTACGTGCCAAGTCTCTCAACCACCACATACAAGCACCATCTTACTTGACTGAAATTAGTCTTGAAAATCCAGATGTCATTCACGCTTCATACTGAGTGCAGTGCAGTACAGTACAGTACAGTGCAGTGCAGTAGATTTCTACACTGATCTCAGCTCAATGAAGATATGTCTCACTGTCTTTCCGATCCTGGCTGCTTTGAAATCCTCATCTGTGGCTGTGCCTCTGCCTATGCCGGCTGCCTGTAGTTGAAACGATGCTGCCTTGCCTGGGTAGGTGGAGGAGACAACTTTGTTTAGATTTCTCCCGTTGATGGTGATTGGTGCTTGTCGTTGTTGTTGTTGTTGTTGCTGTTGTTGTTGGGCATCTTCATCACCTCTATCTTCTATACGTTCACCTGAAGGAAGGGCCATCTTCTCTGCCTCACCTTGCCTCTTCTGTCATCTTGTTAGTTTTCGCATGTAGATCTTCGAGTTTATGCAACAAGACATCAGACATAAATCATCATCACCGGCGAAATCCAAATCTTCTTGTGGGGTCTTTTCATCGGTCCAGCCAGCGTATGCCTCTCTTCTCCTTCCTCACAGTTTGTTGTGTGATCCAGTCCAGTCGACCACAATCAGGAAGATCATGGGTGATAGTAGGCGTCAGCCTTGTCTTACTCCTGTCAACCTGTCTTCACTTCGAAGGCATCACTGAGCTTTCCATTGTGAATCACTTGCTCATATAGCTAGCTGTTGAATGCGGTTGATAAATGTTTGTGATACTAAAACTGTAGTGTTGAAGCAGCTGCGAGCCAAATTACTTCTCTGTTGACGCTGTCGAAGGCCACTTCAAAATTGATAAAGTTGAGGTTGAGTTGAGCTGACTGTCATTCTATTCTCTGTTCTGTGATGATGCGTAGCATAGCGTTGCAGTTTGATCCGCATATCTTGTCTTCACCATCTGATAATTAGAGATGTTGAGAATATTTATAGTTTGAAATGAAGAAAGAAGAATGGCTGAGACGATAAGAAGACTTAGAAGGTTATAGTAGTTTTAAAGACTAGCAGAGGAATCCGGGACACATATTTCGTCCTGTTAGGGACTCGACAGCCACCTCTTGTGCAACGGGTATCAGTAGTTGTTATGATACATTCATCCGACGAGTCCCAAGTGGGACGAAACGCGCGTCCTAAATTCCACTGCTAGACATCAGATAGAGTACCGCATAATGATATTCGATAGTATCAAGGCATCTGCATAGGAGCTCATCTGCCAACAAAGGTCGAACAATTCAACCCTGTATAACAACGGGAAATTACAAGTATCATAGCAACAAAAGCTTTGAAGGGATTTGAGGCACTGTACTGTAGTCACTAGGCTGCAAAACTCAACCATTCACTATGTTTCACCTGTTCTTAGGCTGTGATTAGATAAGTCTCAAAAAAGTGTTTGTAAGCAGTGCATCGAAGATCAGATGGCCAGAAAGAATAATCAACAAGGAGCTCTGGGAAAGAATCTACCAAGAACCTATCACCCAAAAAATATGCAGAAGGAAATGGAGATTGGTTGGATTGGGCATACACTGAGAAGGCCGACTGGGGACTTCACGCGTCAGGCCAGTTGCTCGAGTGGAATCCCCATGGGAAGCGATGAGTTGGACGTCCGAGGGTGACATGGAGGAGATCATGTGAGGAGGAAATGAGAGGTTGTGGGCTGTTGTGGAGCCAGGTTGAAAAGATTTCAGAGAACAGAGTGGAATGGAGACGTGCTACTGAAGCCCTATGTTCCATTAGGAACCCAAGGGACTAATAATAATAATAATAATAAGCAGTGCATCAATCATGTAAGTCAACAATGAAAAAATAAGTTATTGGAGGAAAAGAAACAGAAAGTAACTCAGTACAGAGAATTTCCTCTTCTACGAATCACTGTCAGTAGCTGTACAATCGTATTTATGATCAGTCAGAAAACGATTGTAGAGAATAAGAATTTTTCTTTACAATGAAACCATAGTAGAAAGGATCAAAAATTTTAAAGTAATTTCTGGTCGAAGGTGAATATATTTTGAGGCTAATAGGGATTCCAGTCTTAAGGTAGTATTCATATCACGGACCGACACCAATTGGAGAACCAATGAAAACCTGCTAGCATTGGACGGTTGTTTCATCCTGGCATGGGACTCCTTAGCAGTACGCATTCATGACCTGGCTAGGGATCGAACTCAGATTCTGTGACCAGCAAGTTAATTGTTCAGTCACTGGGTTGAAATTCAATGGTACACAGTTTCCGACTTCTGTCAACTAGCGACATATGTTGATTATCACCCAAGGTTATCAACTGGCATACGCCTCACTTCCGACTGACTGGTTGATTATACAGGTCAAGATTTCTTGTTAGACCCCCGGATATCCATCTAAAAGGATTGAAAATTACAGGAAAAAAGAAAGTTACGTAATTTCCATAAGCGTTCAAAATGGGGAAATAAACAAAACAATTGAAAAATAAAAATATTTACTTCAAAAGGAATTTATCTAGCCTGATCGATGGTCCATAATGGCCATGAAGAAGAAAGAGGCTGTATGTACTTCTTTTGAATGTATAAGGATGGTTTGAACTCTTGAATTGCTAATGCTTCAACTATGACCAGATGTCTTTGAAGGAGTTATCAAAAGGAGTCAAATTTCCTGAATTCACTGAAGTGTTCTGTTATACAGTTGTCAGCTAGGTTGAATAGTGTTCTCGAGAGCCTTGGCATAAATTGGCGCATGAAAAAGCCAATGTATTAGGTTCCATAAGAGCAAGTAAACTGACACACATAAACATAGTGATGCGATCTTGATGCTCCAGCTTATCTCTTGTCTACTGATGAATAAGTTCCTTCCAGAAGAATATGATTTTAAGATTAGCGGCTCTTGATAGTCTCTTTCTAAGGATTTCGGCTGTATTATTTTCTTTGAATTCAAGATTCAGCAGTAAAATCTTTTTCGAAACAGTATACACACGTTCCGTAGCGTTTTCAGGCTTTAGATTTATATCTATAAATTCTAGTGGGTATCCATTTTTCATCAAGATTTTTCTCAAGCATCCTAGTTCATCTTCGATGGTATCCTCCCTACATACTCTTCATATTCTTGAGAAGAACGAATTGGTTAGATTACTCTTTTTGCCTAAGTTAACACAGTTTCAATCTCTGAACTAAACTGTCATTTCATTTCCTTGAAGTTGGACATCTAGGAAGTGGAATTTCGAGTTTCTTCCACTTTTAGAGTGAATTTTATTACGGATGTTCGCCAATGAAAGTTTGAAGCAAACTGTCCATCATAATCGATAATTGGTAGTGAAATATCATAAAAATGATAACACGAAATTGGAACTAATACATAAAAATGTACAGAAGTAAACTTAAGATAATGATCCACTAGGACTGTAGTTGGTATTTTCGCCTCGGTTAGGGTTAAAAATAGAATACACTATGATCACCTGTTTAAGATAAACATTGTCATAAGATAATATCAGAATGAGAGAATACTCTTTAGTAGACGATAAGTTTATCCATAGAGTCAATGAACAGAATATTCTAAAAGTGTAGTACATTCCTTTTTTCATCATTTTAGCTAGAAACAACCCCCCAATAACATGAAAGAACTAGGCTTCATTCAGTGATTCAATTGTAATTTCTGATGTTACCAATGATTTGTTTGGGATCAAAGTTATATTCAGCAAAATTTGTACCAAAATCTCAGTGATCAGTAGAGTTATTTTGCAGTCCTTCTTGGTTAAGACGGTATACACTATAATCATTCAACTTATTCACTTCATACAGAAAATTGCATATATTTACGACAAAGATGACTTCTCATAGGATGAAGAAAGCTGTGAAGTTATTGCAGGTCCACAGGAATGAAAGGTCCCAGTGTTAAAAAAGTAAGCGGCTGTTTCGTATTTCAGAAATCTCTGATTCCTATGTTTTCTATCATTAATAAAGATAAGTGGAGATGTCAAGTTCTAAGTGCCTTGCATTCATTGAACTTTACCAGTCGTCTGCATAGTGTAGTCGTACACTCAATCACTTATGGCATGAATAACATAGGTTCAAGATTTCCTCCCAACTGGTGTCTAATATCGAATCTTCTCAGGAGGGGAGGGGGAGTGAATTACTTTGATAGGAAGAACGACAATATTTAGAATGACTGCATCTGAACCACAAAAAAGAAACAACTTTTAGGTAATACTCTTCACAGTGAATTCCCCTTGAATATCACACACATCCTAATCAGGAGAAGTCAAGAAGATATTTCATTTTTACGATGCTGTCTGCTACAATTAAGATAGTCGACCATTAATTTAATCAATATACAGCTAAGCCACTGTGGGACTGCATGATGTGCATGTGTTGGTCACCAGTAGGTAACCAATGTAGCTGCCTAATCCTTAGCTCTTAGTACTCGGTAAAGTGTGTTGGCAAAGTCTTGCAATATGATCACTAAGCAGAATGACAAAACACTACGGCTTAATGT